AGAGAGAGAGAGAGAGAGAGAGAGAGAGAGAGAGAGAGAGAGAGAGAGAGAGAGTTTAAAATAGAAATAACATATATGAAATGGGAGGACAATAAATTATTGCCAAATGTCAATCTATTTCTACGTCACAAAATTTTATAGTAATTTTTACTATAAATTTTTCTGCGTGCAGAGCGATCTACTATTCCTCGATTACTCGATTATCTTCTTACCTTTTTCTCGGTTGGAGTCATTGTAAAAACAGTGGTTCGTACTGATCGAAGAACTCTCTTTGCGAAGCTCCTCTCTACCTCATTGATAAACGCGGTCGAATGCCCCGCAGAGAAGGTAAACCCCTAAATCTTCGCGTCAACGTGCAGTAGTTTCATGCCGCGCACCGCAGGTTCTCGGCAGCTCGGTCCTTCACCACCTTCACCTTTCCGCCGGGGCGACGAGATATCGGTTATGGAAGATGTATAAGGAAAGCGTTAGCCGCGATTTATATCGGCTCCGCCGGCGCGGCGCGACACCTCGTCGATTTTATCCAGAGGTGCTCGTTCACCTCGTTCGCCTCGTTGATGCCTCTCGTGAGAGTTTTCGCCTCTAAAACGTTTAATGAGACTCGAGATCTCTCATGTTCGCAGCTCTCACGACCTATCGCGCCGAAACGCGCCGTGTTGATCCTCCACCTCGCCTCGCTACTCGCGTAATCAGGCGGGTTCCTCGAGGACTTGGGATGTCCTTAATTAAAAATTTACGACGCCATGGCGGGCAGGCGTGCGTTTCTAGCGGTAACGGCAGCAATCGAGACGTCGGATTGCTTCGCTGATGGGCAGTAACCGCGGATGAAAAATTAATTGCGGCGGTCTCATTTGTTATCCGCCGCGTCTGCCACGCGCTCCGCGAGCGCAGGATTCCCCCGGCGATATTTTTTCGCCGAGAGAAAGAATAGCCTGAAAACCTCCCATGGAAACTGTGGTCTCGGAGTGGCCTCGTGCTCTTTAAATTTTTTGTAAAGTGGAAAGTGGCAGTATTTTCACTCGAGGCGACAGTGAGAATACTGAAACACTCGAAACCACATGAGTGAATGTTTCACTCAAGATTAGAGTAGATGCAAACTCTGATATGAGCGAATATTTCGATCGATTTGAGTGAATATATTCCTTTGACGATAGAGTCATCCGAGTTGAAAAAGGGCGGCTAAGTTTCGCCAATTTGTTTCGCATAGATTAAAATTCACAATTCGATTTCAAATATGAAACTCTTTAATCTGAGCTTCTTACCGTTGGTAAGAAAATAACTTAAAGAATCCTAATTTCAATATATGGCACTATGTAAAACAAAAAACAAATACTAGATGGCAGTGGCAACTAATTCAACTATGCACAACATGCGTTGCATGTTTATCGTTTGTCGCCAAACAATACTGATGCAGAATTTATCAATGAAATCTTAGCTGATCAGTGATTGGCGTTAATTAACCGTTAAACAGCACATGGCACGTCAGGATCGTGGAAACCAATACAGAACCAATACAGAACGGCTCAGATTAAAGAATTATATTTTTTTGGAATCGACTCGATGTGAGCTTTAATCGTATGTAAAAAGCATAATATTATTATCGAGGATTATCGCGAAAATCAAAGCGAAACATTTATAAGCATTTAACTGGCGTTACTCTTTGCATTACTTCATACTGTCGACTCCAATATCCCCCATTTAACACCTACTTTGATACTTTGAAGCTTAAGTTCCTTTGATTAAGTTGATTTTATTTAATCTACTAGTTTTACAGAAAGGTTCTCTTTAGCGCGTACGAGTGACATTTTGTGTTTTTTCTACTAATTAGAGGCACTATATAAGATTTCAGTTTCCATGTGTGTTATATACATATACTGATTCTTCAGAATATAAAGATGTTAGAAAGTTGAGGTCTAAAGTAGGGTTAAAATTTCAATTCGAGGCACATCAGATTCGTTTTTCAATTTCGAGAGAACATATTCACTCGGGAATTCACTCTACAGGAGTGAGAGATCTAAATTGATTTCGGATGATTCGGCTGTCTGCTTTTCAAGTGAAATTCCGCTTCAAGAAATTTAGAGTGTATATTATAACGCCGTTGTTCTCGCCGATCGTATCGAGATTCATGCTGTCTGCGAAATGTTACGTCAGGATAAAAGATAATGTGAAAACGGCACACTAAAAGCGGATGTAACTGCGGGGGGTGAAATAGCGCGGTCCGTTCGTCACATTGTCAACGTAGAAAAGATTAATATTTCATAGCGTTGCCGAAGACTATCGACTTCGCGATCGACGCCATCGTCGTCACACCGTCGACTCCCGCCATCGTTTATTCATTCGTCCGATTATACGACACCGAAGGCGAACCGCGTTGCGAAAAATCGCCGGAAAAATCGTCGAACTCCGAGTTCTCGATAATAATGCCGTAGTCGCGTTGGTAAAGAGAAGGTGAAAAAAAGAATGAGAGAAGAAGCGACAACGGAAAACGGAGTGGTTTTTGCGCCGCTCGTTTCCGCGCGAGTCTCCGCTGCCATTACCGCCGCCGCAGCCGCCGCCGCCGCCGCCGCCGCCGCCGCCGCCGCCGCCGCCGCCGCCGTCATCCCCGTCACCCCGTCGTCGTTTTTCCCTTTTTCCAGGCCGTCTTCGACGCTACGCGATAACGCAATCATTCGCGCGCCATGCCAGGCGCGAAAGAAAGGGTCGCGAAGACGAGACGCGCAAAATCGTACCTCTCTCGTTTCTCATCGCAAATTTTTCCTTTCGTTTTTCGAGCCATCGCGCCGCACCATTTGTATTGTTAACGGAGTGCTCGGGACGAGCCGGGCGCCCTTAACTCTTACAATCCGGGAAGCCACTAGTGGTGGAGTGGCAGCATACCTATTTTTGTGAAATACAGCTACTATTCTTATTATTGTCATTATGATTATTATAGTTTTTAAGAAGCTGTTTTTTTAATATAGTTTTTAAAAAGTGGTATTTTTTAATCGCTGGGAAAAACGGTTTTCTTCGAAAAATTAATTTTTTTGAGAAAAATAGCTGTTTTTGCTACTTAAAGAAAAGATATTTTAAAAGAAAATGTTTTATTTTACTTGAAGAATAAATTATAATTTTATTTATTTATACGTGGTTAAATACTCTACCTACTCTTAGTTTCTTTATGTTTAACATTATCATAAATAAAAAAAAAAGAAACTTTAAGGTCAGAGATTGTGGAGTAAAAACAAAAAAAATTCGAGTGTTATCATAGAATCTCAGATTTTAACCCTCTGTCCACTATGACTCTGAAATCACAATCTAGTTTCATAATTATTTATCTTCAATATGAATGTTATTTCTATCTTGATCGATGTGACGTGAAAGTTACAATATGACTTTTTTTTTATGTTGGCAGTGATAGTAACTTCGTAACCCAACGTGACTTTAGAGTTCTATTTTGGGAAAATAAAAAATTATAAAAGTAAAATTTCATTATATATATATTGAGTACTTTAGTTTTAAACGTATTATATATACGAAAAATGTTTTAAACATGAGAAATTAATTTGGCAGTAGAGGACTAAAATAAATATTTTTACGGTATAAAATACTCTGCGTAATGATATAGTGATTACTATATAATTGATATAAATTGCAATACAGTAATCCACAAATATACAAGATACATATACAATTTGCTATCAGATTCTGTTTGCAATTTCTGTCGACAGCAGATTGCGGACACAGATAACACGGTTTGTCGACAGGTCATGTTCAATATGTCGTTAAACTGCTAACAGATTGCTTATTGGGTTTATTTAGCTTCAGTTAAATGCACACAATTATCTTTACAGAAAAAAACAAATATGGCAGGTTCTAACACGCATGAATTTTTCAAATGAATTTTTTTATTATTGGGAATGAAACTGAAAAAATCTGCGAAAAATTGAAAAAATCTGGTTCCCTACTTTCAAAACTATAATTATTATTGTTATTATTATTATTATTATCTATCTTTTCTATACAAATTGGTAAGAAAAAAATTTGGAAAGATGTAAAAATTTTATGAGATTGTTAAATAAAAAATAAAAAACACAATTAAATACATAAATATACTTGTGTCACGTAAGTTGTTAATGTTTCACTAATATTAGATCTTGAAATTTTTGCAAATAATAATTGACATTTTGTTTTATATTTCGTGGTTTTTTTTAAATTATCATACGTTTTTGCGTAATTTTGTTGAAAATAAATAAATTGATGTTCTTTGATAACTTTTAATACAACAAAAGTTTTCTGTACGACTGAATAAGGAAAGAAATCAATTTGAAAGAAAAGTTATTGCGTACAATCTGGGAAGCCATTATGGTAGCGCGGAGCGGGTCTCATATTTCGTACTTCATATATCCACCTTTTGATACATACGAAAAGGTCGCCCAAAAAGTAAAGAAGTAAAAGTCACCCCACAAGCCGCCCAGAGTGTAAGTGTTAACAACTTTGCGAACTTAAATTGTTAATTACACACAGGTAAGCCGTAACGCACACCCCAGCCTACTGAATGCTTCGCCGTCAGACTTAATAGCACGAGCCGTAATCAACGATAATCAACTTTCTTTGCGTTAAGTTTTCGCCCTAAGTCTCCGCCCATGACTCTCGATGCATTAATGAGAAAGTTGAGGCTTTGTTTCGCAACAGAACGCGATCTCCGTGGCACAACGCGCGATAACGTGCTCGCGCGCGAAATGTTAAATTCCGCCCTTGGATCAAATATGCGTAGCTTTAACGTGATATAAATATCACAACTTCGACCGGTTGTTATTTCCCTCGGTCCTCCAGGTTGCTGGTCCCTCGTCGCGGAACTCTTGATTGATGACGTCATAGAAGCGAGGAAATACATGTCCAAAATTCAAAGTAAAAGGATATATCCAAAACGTCAAAGTAAAAGGATATATCCAAAAAGTGACATCTGCAATCGATCAAGCGCATTTCTAAAATGCTCCAAACACTTTCTTTTTGTTATAAAAATCAACAAATAACTGTAAAATTAACGCGATAAAATCACGAAGATATGTAGGCTAAAAAGGAAGGTTGTACGTGACGTTAATTTTACGGTTATTCATTTATTGATTGTTAAACCAGAATATTCGGAGTTATTTAGATTTGTGACTTAATCGATTGCATGTCGCTTTTTGGATGGATCTTTCTATTCCGACGTATTTTGTAGGGGTTTGGGCATGTATTTCCCCGCATTTCTGATGTCATGAATCAAGATGGCCGTAACGAGAGACCGGAAACCTTAACAACATGACGTTCGACCAACCGTGCATATCCTGCAGCCGAGCGTATCGCCGAATATACGGGAGTGATTGTATTCGTGAGCTTTCCAATGTGGCCGCGCTTATTAGTGCGGGAAATTCAAGCTGGGACTTGTAAGTAGCGAAATAATGAACGTAACTACCCGATAAACGTCGCTCGAGCGGCGGTATTAACAATGGACATGGCTGTGCTTCCTGAGATCACGTTTCGGGAAACGCTGATACATGTAAGTCGATCGCCGAGAGGGCGTTCTTCTCGCGAAAGACTTGTTCCGCCGACACGGCGAATTTCACGTCGCATACCAAGTACGGGCCGAAAGCGCCATCGAGAAGTATGCCAAGAAGCGCACAATTCGAGTATGCTTCGCGGTTGTTTTAATTAATTTGAGGTTATCGATATATTCTCGTCTATTACACTAGAGCTCTAGTTCTACAGAGAGGCGACATTGAGACTTGATATATCGAATATCGCCATTTTGTCTGCATAATTTCATATAACAAAGCACTTGAAAGATACTTTAAAGACACCTAAAAGATATTCTACTTGTTTTAGGTGTCTTTAGAGTGTCTCTATAACGTGTATTAGATAATTGTACCGTTTGAGTTGACTCGTGAAATCAACTTCAATAATTATCCTAAATAAGAGTCATACATTGAGAAAAAATTCCTTATTAATTAGAGATATAATAAAAAATTAGAAATATTTATTCAGTAGATTATTATAATAAAACAGAGTAAAAATGACCGTATAAACGTGATAACTCTACATTTATGGTCACTTTTACCATGCTTTGTTATAATTTTCGCGATAGTGAATTTGTTTCCGAACTACGAAAATTGCATTGTAATTTTTGCTACAGTATTCTTTCCGTGTAACAAAAATATTACAATTTCCCGGAATACCACACGCTTATTGGCTGCTGTAGACACAACATGCCGCTTGGGATTTGTGATTCAATGAAATGAAACTTTTTGAACGTTGCCTCTCTGTAAATTTAGGGCTCCAGTCGGCATTTGGAAAGAGTCGGAGCTGTCAGGAGTTATTCTCGACTAGATTTTCGGTCGTTGTCGCTCGTCGGGAATTACGTAGAAAATATCTCGGGTCATCCGGACTTTATTCTTTCGTCCGTGGATTCTCGATTCTTCCCGGATTCTTCTCTCGCTCTCTCTTTCTTACAAGCGCATGTGCTCGCTCCTGAAATTCAATTTCGTTATGACTTTCATTGTGTACGATCGCAGTCACATCCGGCCGTGTTGCAGCTCGTGAGCTTTGCGCCCGCGAGTACTTTCTGAAAGGTAGTATTCATTTCGGACAAAGCGACTCGAGCACTTTCCATCCATCGCTGTCTCGCGACTTTCGGCTGCGTGACGGCGAAAGTATCTTCTATCTGAACGATCGATCGCGGATTGCATGAGGCTTCTTCAATTTGATTCTCGTGAAAAGTAGCACGACGCAAAGCAGTGTTCGGTCGAGCAATTTCCAGAGAAACCATTGAAATGTTCTGAAGATACTACGAGATAACAATGAGCGCGTCGACAGTGACGAAATTGGTATGGAACGAACTATTTGTTGTTGTTTTTCGTGGTCCTTGGAAGTTTGAGCAGTCGTACACGTCAATGAGACGTAATACTATTTACCGTGGAAGTGACGTTCTCTTTAATCACGCTTAGCGCTTCGACCCGTTTTAACGTTTTTGATCGCGGCGACGATCGAACAATTGCGACCTGAAAGTAGTTTATCAGAAAAAATTAGCCGAGCGGATTTGTCAAAAAAGCGGCGTGCTCTGACAACCACGATCCGGTTTGCGCTTAGTGGAAAAAAATTGTTTCCGAGCAGGGCAGAGTGAAACCTGCTCGTGAAATCGCTCGCGAGCGCGCTCGCTTGCGCGAACGAGTCGCCGTGAGTCGCGAAGCGCGCGCCACTGTCAGTAAATCGATGCGAGAGAGAGACGACGCGATCTCTCCCTCTCTTCCACGACCACCCCCGCCGCCTGCTCTCTTCGGTAAGTTAAGCTCCGACTCGATTCAGCTGAGTTCAGTTGCGCCACTCGGCCGTGTGGTTCGCGTGCCGTCGCAAGCTCGCGGAAGCTCCGTTGCGCGCGCGAAGTATCTCTGAGAGAGAGAGAGAGAGAGAGAGAGAGAGCGCAGCCTCTCTCTTTTTTATTCTTCTTCCACTCGCAGGCCGATTGTCTTCTCGTTGCGCTTCTTTCCTTTTGTTTCTTCTCCACTAATTTCCCTTTCGCTCGAGGAGTGCGCGAAACATACGAGAAGAAAAATCCGGGGGTGAGTGTCGATGTTTCCATTCGCGGAGGTCAACGTACGTTACAAGGTAAATAACTTATATCGAATACATCTTTATATACGTACATATGCGGAAGTTGTTCTATTTAAAGTATGAATTTCTGGATCTCACTCTTGCAAATGTGACTGACAATTTTTAAGGAGACATGATCACTCGCGAAGCGCTTACTTTTGCTACACTTGAGCGCGATATATGAGGGCACCGGTTCCCTCATTCACAATATATATGTGTATGTGTGTGTGTGTGTGTGTGTGTGTGTGTGTGTGTATACGAGTATATATATATGTATGTATATATGTATGTATATATATAAATATATATAAAAAATAATTGTTACAACAATACCTAATTTTAAATGTAATGCAATTCCCACAATTTAAATATTCATTTTAAAGTTACCTTTACAAAGTGTACTTTAAAAAGTTTCTACCCCATTCTACTTCCCTCTTGTATATATATGTAAGTAAGTGGAATTAACTGACATGAAATTAACGTCAAAATCTATATTTTAGATTAATATCGACTCAATTTTTATGTTAATTTTATGTCAATTGATTGCGCTTCCTTACATACCATACATATAAAAGAGAAGCGGAATGCTCATTCACAAACTCTCAACTCGCGCCGAGCATGCGGCTGCGATCTTGCGAACAGTCACGATATTTCGCTCCGTAGATTTTCGCGACACTTATCAGCGTCTCTGTAGTTTCGGGAAACTCGATTGCACCGACGACATTGAGTCTGCGCGCGCGGTACTTTATCTTTCTCACGCGATCGCGATGTGCACACAGAGACCGAGGCATATTCAGCCGTCCGCGAGATATATCGATTTCTCCTGTAGTATAAATTTGAGGTATGAAACTTCCCTGGTGAAAACCGTAGGGTATCACAAGGGACGCCTAATGGTTTTGTCATAGGTCCAGGTCCGACACATCTTCCAAAAGTGATAACATTTTCGAGAGAGTGTGCCTCCCGCCTTGGTTACGGGCGCTAGACGACTCGTTGTTAAGACGTAAGTTAGGACGAAAAATGAGCCAGTACCTAGCCGCGATATTTGCAAAGACAGACTCAAAAATGCAACCAACTCTGAGCATATGCTGTAAACCCGAAAGTGCTCGGAAGTCCGGTTTTATTGAAATATTCATAGCCGAGATACAAATTTAACGATATAGAACATTATTTTTGAAATATTATTTTTAAAATATTTTTTATTCAATATTTAATCATGTTACACATTGTCTATATAACCGTTTTTAGTATTAGCGTTTCGCGTGAGTTGTGTTCGTAGTTTGAATCGCAGTTTTAACGCGATTGAATCGTTACATTGAGGAAAAAAGTACTTGAAAATTTATTTCAGTGAAATAAAGGTTATCTCTAATGAATAAACTTTATATATCACGCGAATAAATTTTCACGCATTTTGTCCTCAATGTCGAATTTTGGAAATTGCTCATTAATTTATTATTATAATATTAACGTGAGAAATGTGTTCAATATATGCTCTTCTTCCCTCTCGTATAATGCTTCGAATAGCGGGACGTTTCTATCCTTACTTGGGTACTCTCTCTCTTTCTCTTTCTCTCTCTTTAGTCAAAATACACGGATAATACCACGTTTTACTCATTTATTACTTCCTAAATACGCTACTGTTACCGTGACGTTATGAAAACGTGGAAATTTGCCGCGATCGGAACTCACGCGCGGATGTCGGAGGGAAATCTGTGGATTCTTTCCTGTTGACCGAGCGAATCTCCTTTGATACTTCCTGCAAACTTGATTACGGAAGAAAAATAGGATTTTATCTGCAAAGACGGTTGTTAAGCCGCAGGAATGCTGCGGGGTAATCGAATTACCTGCCCTCGGCAAAAGAAAGATAAACTCAAGAAACGCGACACCTTACGTTAAAGTCACCTATCGCCATCAATAACGCGTCGTACGTGAGGTTCCCGGATTGACCCTTTTCTCAAATGCCGATCGCGCACCGCGCTATGAAAGGAGCGCGAAACTTTCGTATCGGGAGTTACATCATCGGCACGCGCGTCGAGTAAACCGGGAATCAGCGATGTTTTCTTACCTCCTGATTGGAGCATTGGTCGTGAGCACGTAGCTAGTGGTGGCTCCGAAGTCTCATTCATCGTACGTGCCAGCTTGCTCGCATTGAATGAAAGCATTCACGACGCCCGCCATAGTCTCGCATTCCGAACAGTCGCCGCGGAACGGCGAATTAATCGCGCTACTGAGGATGCGGGGGACGCAAAAATTGCCGAACGCAATCTGGAATAAAAGGACGAGCGATTTCATTCGTGTTCTTACGACAGTGCGATGTATTCGAGAGTTTACTGAAGCGCCTTGTACATCGCTCAGTCGGTCGGCGATATTTGATATTACCATGCGCGAGCTGCTTTCTGCGAGCCATTATTCCCGAGTGCAATATTTCGTGGCTGCCCGAATTATTACTCGTTTAACAGTCGGAATTACGGCGGCAACTCTCATTAAAATTACCGCCGTATGGTGCTGGACGTGCGTTTCGCACGCGCGTGCACCGAGTCGAAATTTTAGCCTTAGAACTTTCGGCCTGAGCCCTCTAACGTCTGTATATTCCATAAGATTAGCGTACGTTCAATATACATGCACAAAGAGAACCTCTCAGCAAAGCATCAGGTTAAATAGAGAAATTGGTCGATACAGGCTTTAGGGTATCGAAATAAACGTTGAGTGGAATATTGAGGTCGAAAGTGAGATCAAAATTTTGACTTGGAATTTCTAATGTCTGTATACTTTGAAGGATTAGTGTATATTTAATACACATGGGAACTGAAGTTTTACTTAGCATCTCTAAATGACAGAAAATGACCGTTTGTAGATTTTAAAGAGGACCTCTTAGCAAAGTAGGATTAATATTTCGACCTGAACTTTCGGATACTTCTATACTCTGAAAGATCAATTGTTTAAGTCCCGATCTACAATAGGTGTAGTAAGCTTTAACCCTTGAGAAATTGACCAATCACAGTGGAATTATAGAGGAATAATCAATTGTGATTGGTTAATTTTTTACGGCTTAAAGCTACACCTATTGTAGATCGGGACTAATACACATAAAAACTGAAATTTTACTTAGCGGCAAAAATGACAGAAAACGTATTAAAGGCGACTTGTACGTTCTAAAAAATACCTCTTGCCTCAAAGTTAATTATTTAAAGATTTAATTCAAAAGGAGTTGATATATATGTTACCGGCAAAATAGAAAATCCGACACATTGTATGGAATACTTAGGCATTGTGTATATGAAATATTTAAGCATTATTTATAAAAATTGATAGACATTCCGTAGACTGCCTAGATATGCTATACAATATTAAAGTTTCACACAATGCTGTAACATATAAGTATCCAATAACTCACAGAGGAGCCGCAGTATAAAAAATGCTCTATCATTTTCCAAATGACCACGTAGATATATTTCTTCTTTAATTTCCTTAACTTCTTTAATTAATAATTAAACATGTACGTGGTCATTTGGAAACTGAAGACATTTTTGTTTAGTCTAACCTAATATACAAGCATACAGCGACAGACGTCGCCATCACAACTCATCTACTTTATGGCGTATAATCATTTACGAATCTTTTTTTATTAATAACTCAAAATTTTACGTAGTTTGCAAAATGATTGAGGAATTTTTTATTTAGTTTGATCTAATCTACCTATCTGTGAGTTACCGGACATATACCTATATACATATATATATATATATATATGTGTGTATGTGTGTGTGTGTGTGTATTTTCTTTTAAAGTATCATTTAAAGTATCAACTATAAAATGGAATATTGAGGTCGAAAGAGAATGAAAATTTCGACCTTGGCAGTTCGCAAAATTGAATACGCGACGAAGAAACGACTGTGATCTTGTGGCGAGATACATGTTCATTATTGTCGGGAAATTCGACAAAGGTAGCTCAAATTTAATCAACGGCACGGAAATACCGGTATTTCGCTCGAGATTACAATTTTCCGAAACACTGTTCATCGATATAGCGCGTACCGTATCGTCGATGATGGCGAATGGTAAAGGGATGCTTGGCGGTCAAAGAGCGCGTTGGCCCGCGAGGTATCCTTTTAAGGATGAGCGTCAGCTGCGAAAGGACACCAAGGGATCGATTCGACGGTTCGAGTGCGACCGACAAAAAGCGACCTCGTAATTAATCACGTTGATTCCTCACTGATCCACCGTGCGAGAAGAGAGATAGACCGGCGAGGAAGAGCAGAGGGAGCGAGGGAGGGCGAAAGAAAGAAAGAGCGAGAGAGAGAGAGAGAGAGAGAGAGAGAGAGAGAGAGAGAGAGAGAGAG